CTCAGGGAAAAGGGCGGCCTATAAGTGTTCAATAAAACCTAAACCTAAATGAAAAAATGCCAAACTGAATAATTTTGAAACCATAATTAACAATATTCAAATGCCTGCCCCAGAATGAGTGTGTGTGTGTGTGTGTGTGTGTGTGTGTGTGTGTGTGTGTGTACCATTATATGTACATACCCAGATTGTTGGTGGCAATATGCTGACTCTGAAAACCACTTAGAGAGGATTGTAAAAAACTATGAAATGGTATATAAGTCTAGGTGTTATTGCTACTGTTTTGTTCAGAAGTCCTTTAGATTAATCTCATATGTTCCCCTCAAACAGCTCTGGGTGCATTTTCTAAGAATTCTTGTGTTGGTAACTTATTTATTACTTACTGTATAATTGACCTATGTCTTCTACTGTGTTTCCCTGGAAAAAAGACCTGGTCTTATTTTCTTTTGGGGTCCAAAATAAGTAATAGGACTTATTTGGGGGGACGTCTTATTTTTTGAGTGCTGCTGCTGCAAGATCAGGATGGGCTGGATCTACCCCACGAACCCTGCACCCTGAGCCCCCAGCAACCAGCCTATCTATGATCTGATCCCTACCTCGCCTCGCAGCAGCAACTCCAACAGCCTCATCCAGCAACACCCTGCGTGGCCACTGGCCCACTTCTTCTAGCAACTGACTTGTTTGTGAGGGTCCTGAAGTGAGCCAGCATGTGTGTGGGGCAGCTCCACCCACCCTTGCCTCACCTCACCTCATATCAGCAACACCACGAGCAACCAGATGGAATGGGTGGGCAGCCAGCTGAGCAGGGCTCAGCTAAGTAGGGCTTATTTTAGGGGTTGGGCTTATATTGGGTGCATGAGCAGAAAACATGCTAGATCTTATTTTTGGGATATGTCCTATTTTCGGGAAAGCACAGTATATGCCACCTAGAGGGATCAATACAAAATTAGCTGTGGGTTAGTTTTTTGTCTGGCTAATGAAAATGGAATGTGGGCAGATAAACAAAACAAGCAATAACCAAGCCATTTCTAAACCAGAGAGACAGACAGTCAACTTAATGGAAATAATTGTTACTCCATATTTGGACAGAACATCAAGCTTGAACCTGAAACTAGGATAAAGGTATGCATAGAATTGGACCTGGAGCAGTTGTGGGCAGGGAGGTAGTAGACTCATGCTTTCTTTACCAGATTCACTATCTTAGCATGTCATGTGAACATGATTAATATGAAGAATTGGGTTGTGCCTTAAAATATTTGCAGATATGCCAATAAAAATTTTAAAAATTATTTGTTTTAGGACAACTTTTAAACTATATCAAGAACACTTTATTATAAAAATATTATTCATATATTTCTGTCTTAAATATTTTTTGTTTGGAGGGGAGATGACACAGCACATAAAATGCTACTCTAAAAGAAGAAATCAACTTGAAATTAATATATATATATTATATATAAAATATAATATATATTAATTTTTATATTAATTAAAATGTTCTAGTATTTTTAAATTAAAACAAATTTTCAAATATTTCTAAAAGAAAATTACATGTTTGGTGGGGGGAATAAAGCTTACAAAATCTGAATTGATTCATAACTTGTTTTCTTACAGTATGTTATCTGGTGGTTCTGATGGTACTATTGTATTGTATGACCTTGAGAACTTTAGCAGAACGCCATGTTATACCTGTAAAGTGATTTGTTCTGTGGGAAGGTGTGTATATTTAAAAACTTTTTATGAATATGTTACCTACATTATATGTCTATAGTTCATTGCTAACTCATATTTTGTCAACAAAGTAAATGAAATATTATTTAAGAAACTATTGTTACCACAGTTTGTGCTATAGCATAGTTAGCACATATTTCTAATATTATGATCTTGTACCAAGGTCAACAAGATTGATCTTCAGATTGATCTTTGGGGATTGTTTAATAGACCAAATTTACAGGTTTTTATTTCATTTTTCACTCCTACTTAAACATTTAGAGAAACAAACTTAAATTCTTTATGGTTGGCATTAAGTTCTAAAATTGGTTTTACATTCAGTTCAAAGTTCCAAAGGAAATTAGTTATATAAAATGGAGGTGTGTTTTGCCCCATTTTACAAACTCTTTTGCCATAGTTGTTAAGTGAATCACTGCAGGTAAGTTAGTAATTGGTTGTTACATGAACCCCATTGACTTTGCTTGTCAGACAGTCTCAAAAGGTGATCACATGATCCAGGTCACTGCAACCATCATAAATATGAGTCCGTTGCCAAGCATCTGAATTTTGATCATGCAACGGTTAGCAGCGGTGTGAAAAATGATCATAAGTCACTTTTTTCAGTGCCATTGTAACTTTGAATGGTTAACATAACTTTGCTTCAGAGCTACTACAGAGCAATAAACTTTGGTCTCCTCTGCATTGGTCCACTGTTTCCATGTTTGCCCTAATGGCTCCTAATTTTATACACTTTGATTTAGAGCAAAGTTTGGTTATCAACCATTGTACTGCAGCACATTGGTGTGCCACAATAGGTTTGCAGTATGCCGCCTCAGCCACAAACCTACTTCACCAGGTGGACTGCCTCCATTCTTTTTGTGATGCCATAGGATTTCCAGTTTGTAATGTGTGCTGTGAAATGAAACAGATTGAAAACTGCTGGTTAAGAGAGATGGCCTTCTTGTGTATCTTCTTTGGAAAGCTTTTATATTTTTGTATTTTTTAAAACAACTGTGTGATGAAACATTTACCCAGTAGGTGGCAGAGCCAGCTTAAGTTGTTCTCTGTTACATTAAACCAAGGTATAATTACAGTTCCTATAGTATTTGAACTATTTTAATCTTTCTTTCCTGTTTGAACTAATCTTAGCTCTTCCTGCAAGGGGTTTGCTACTTAGGTTTTGAAAGAATTAACATATTCAGATTTGTTGAGCATTATTACAGCAAATCATCCCTAATTTTACTTTTCTATGACAATATTATAGGAACCATCCTGGTGTTCATAAATACAGCGTAGAGACTGTTCAGTGGTATCCTCATGATACTGGCATGTTTACCTCAAGTTCATTTGATAAAACACTGAAAATATGGGATACAAATACTTTACAGGTAAGTTTTCTTTAATAATTTGATCTTTATATGAAAGAGAAACAGTAGGATTTTAACACATCCTTGTTTTTATAAGGGATTGGCTAATTTTTGTAAAACAACTTAAAGGAGCACACAATACAATCAAGCCTAATGTATTATTGGTCTCAAGAGTTGATGTAGGATCACAGACCAGCAAAGAGTCTGTTCTTGGTATGGAAAGTTGATCATGGAAAAGTAGCTTTTAAATCAGTAAGTTATATTACTTGTAAATGTCAGACACAGGCTTATACATTGCAGTAAACCATAGATTATATAACCATTCTATATAAAGCAGGGTTCCTCACATTAAATTGTAGTTTATAAACCATAATAGCTAAGATAACAAGCATGCTAAGTTAAAACCACAAGCTACATTTTGGCTTGTTACGTTGAATGAGCTTAGACAGAGAAAATGTCCACACAACACAACATGCCACATTTGGTGTAACTGGATAATTTACTCTATATTCTTTTATATATGACTGATAACCCAGCATTGTCCGGGCATTTATTTAAAGGGGGGAAATGTCCAGACAAAATGTAATTTCTAATGTTGGATTTTCCCCCTTATCAGAGGGAGCCCCCTTGTGGAGTACTGTGAAGCTGTTACCATGGCAACTTCACTGCGCTGTACAATAGAAGCCAAATAGGACAATACAGTAGAAGCCATTTGAAGGCACAACAGGCTGTATCGTAACAGAACACACACCCCGGCGAGTGTTAGGGGTGTCTTACCCCCCACAATATTTGTTTTCAGAGAGTAAGTTATATGTTTTATGTGTACCAAGTTTGGTTGAAATTGTTTGAGGCATTCCAGAATTATGCTGGAACATACACACGCACACACAGCCATTTATATATATTACATACATACATACATACATACATACATACATACATACATACATATATATACACACATACATATACATACATACATACATACATACATACATACATATATATACACACAGATATAGATATATATAGAGAGAATATATATACATATATACATATACATTTATTCATTTACACACACACACATATATACATACACACACACATTTACACACACATCTATCCATCTGTCTGGATGGTCTCTTATGACGAGCCGATGGACAGAGAATGGAAGCAGTGAACTTCCTCCCATATTTGGGCATACCAGGGGTTGTGACTTTAAATATACACAAATACAACACAAATACACACACACACACACACACACACACACATATAATGCAAACCAAGTGCAGACCAGTTTGCTATGGAGCTGACATCTGAACTGATATCCCAGTCAACTTTATAATAGTCAGCTAAAATATTTCCTGCTTTTTAAAAAAATATTATTTTTTAAAAGTAATTTAAAATAAGTTACCATATTTTTTCCACTATAAGATGCACCTCACCATATGACACATATATGTTTAGAGAAGGAAAACAAGGAAAAAATATCAGACAGAGCCTGAGAGGACCACAGATAGGTGTCCTCTAATGTGCCAGCTCTGCCTATTGACTCCTGTAGTGCAAAAAAGAGACAGAAGAGGTGGGGTTCAGCACAATTAAAGGACCCTGCCACCACGGCCCAGCTGCTCTTTAGCCAAAGGACCAGCATCACCTTGCGGAGGGGGAGTGCATCTTATGGAGCAAAAAACACGGTACTTAAAAAAAATAATATTATCAATAACCTGTTTGGCATCAAATCAGCCTCATTGGCTATCCCTAACACTCTACTATCATTCTGGTGCCCAAGAAACCCTCCATCAAGGAGTTGAATGACTACAGACTGGTGGCTTTGGCATCCATAGTTATGAAAACCTTTGAAAGGATAACGTTGGCCCATCTGAAAGCCATCACAGATCTGCTGCTAAACCCCTTGCAATTTGCCTACCATGCAAATAGATCAAGCAGATGATGCTATCAATATGACACTCCATTACATATTACAACAACTTGAATCACCAAAGAACTATGTAAGGCTTCTTTTTGTACTTCAGCTCAGTATTCAACATTATTCCTGAAATCCTGTTCTATAAACTGACTAAGCTAGTTGTACTTGATGGTCCTGACCACACTTGTAGATGGATTATAATCTTAGTAACGAATTGGATGCAGTAGGCGAAACTAGGGGAAATCATATAGAACACCCATTTGATTAGCACAGGTGCCCTCAGGTCTGTGTGTTTCCTCCATTACTCTTCTCTCTATATACCAAATGACCGCATCTTGAAGGATCCCTCTGTTAAAGTACTGAAGTTTGCAGATGATAAAACCGTCATTTGTCTCATTCGAGATGATGATGATAAGTCTGCACATAGACAAGAGGTAGATCAACTGACTTTGTGGTGCAACCAGAACAATCTGGAGCTGAATACTGTTAAAACTAGAGATGATAATAGATTTTAGAAGAAGCTGTCCTATTCTACCACCTCCTACAATATTAGGCAACACAGTATCAACAGTAGATACTTGAAGTTTCTAGGTTCTGTTATCTTCAAGGACTTGAAATGGACACCTAACATTAGAAACATTAAACAGGTATAACCAAGAATGTTCTTTTTGAGTCAATTCATAAAAAGTTTTACAGAGGAATTATTGAGTCTTATCATTTGAACATCAATAACTGTCTGGTTTGGCCCACATGTTTAGTATGTTATCTAAACATGATCATTGTTTGTAGTTTGACATAATCTTGCCAAGTAGATATTAGTAGTTGGAATCTACAAGCCAAATAAGAGAAGCAGCACATTTTAGAGACATTTAATCAAGGTAGATATTTTTAACTTCAGAGACCATGAAGATGTCCTCTACCTCTTCAAAATTGTGGAGAAAATGTTACTGCATTTTCAGTGTTGCATCAAGTTGAATCATGTCTCAGTGCAGCCATACTTTCTCACAAAGCAAGAAATCACTTGGATTTTCATTTGAGCATATCAACTTTAAAGCCAGATATCTATAGTTAAAGGGCACCAAGTTCAAAGGTTGCATTAAAATGATAATAGAAAGTAGTAAATTATTTTACTACAATGTTATTTTAAGCACAAGTTTCTATGAATAAGGAATAAATGTTAATGTCTTATGTAAAATAATAATAGGTGTTTAAAATTTAAAGTTCAATTTTGCAGATATTAATAGTACTGAAATTTAAATAATTTATTGGTGAATAATATAAATGTAAAAATTTGTGGAAATGTATAAAAATATAAAAATAGGAAAAATAACTATGTAAGATATAGGGGGTGGATGAACATAATATAAATGTAGAATGGTATGAGGGTTTTTTTCTCTTTTGTAGTTGAAAACAGTATTAAAAATGTTGAAGTAGAAGCTGTTTAATCTTGTATAAGTACATGTATCTTTGTATTATGTTGATAGTATATGCAGGAATAAAATGTGACACTATTTTATATTTGCTAATGTATTATAAATAATAACTATCGTCTATTGCTTCTGATTAAGATTTGAGTTGGTCCAAGTATTTAATAATGTATTGTTTTTCAATTAACAGCCTGCTGATGAATTTCATTTTGATGGGACAGTTTACAGCCATCATATGTCTCCTGTTGCTACAAGACATTGCTTAATTGCAGGTTTGCATTAATTGTAACTATATTTTGAATATAATAATCATATTTTAACTGTCTTTCATTTTTTAAAATAATTCTTTTCTATATTATATATAATATATATATATAAAATATATAATATATAATATATAATATATTATGGAGATGTTTCTTCAGAAATAAATGCTAGAATTCAAAAAGCAACAATTGCCTGGAGCTCACTCAAGAAACTCTGGGCTAGGAAAGACATTTGCCTGAAAACCAAAGTCCGTATATACAAGGCTGCTATCATACCAACGTTATTATACGGTTGTGAAACCTGGCCAATAAAAATTGCTCATCAACACAAACTGGACTTATTTCAAAACCGTTGCTTGCGTAGACTTACGAAAATCAAGTACTCTGAAAGAATATCCAATGCTGAAATCCGCCGAAGATGTGATATCAATGAAAATGTATCTGCCATTATAGAACTTAGACGCTGGCGCTGGCTAGGCCATACATTGAGAATGCCAGAAAATCGAATCCCAAAAATTTCCCTGCTTGCAGAGCCTGGTCCGACCTGGAAATGGCCAAAAGGAGGTGTTCGTCTAACCACTCTGTGTCACTTCAAACGGAAAGCCGAAGATATAGTCATGCGCCCATTCAATCTTAGCCGAAAATCATATAATAGCGACTGGCTGCACCACCTGACAACCCTAGCCCAGGACCGAAAACAGTGGCGCCAAATTTCCATGGAAGTCGCCTATACCCACAATGGGTGAAGAGGCGTCAAGTACAAGTACAAGTATTTTTCTATATTCAAGATTGCAACATATCATAATTTAGAGTTACAAACGTGTATCATAATTTCAGTGGGGCTGTTGTTGGTTTCTGGTTATAATTATTGGTCTCTACAAACTTTTACTTTTACACTGATTGTGTAATGTGTTTTTGAGATATTTACCATATTTTTGTGAACACATTGGGGCTTTTTTAAAATAAACATGCACAAATTTTACTATTAAAATATTTCTTGGCCAGCAAATAATAATCTTAAAATAAAAAAATCAATCATATTTGTTACATAATGGGGTCACATATCTGACTCAACTATCATTTCTCTTCCCCCCACCACCCTATTTTTAAGGATATTCATAGTTCACATTACTTACTTAGTCAAAATGGGGTGATCTGAATTATGTTTCAATGAACATCCACCACTATTTAAATGTAACATATGGTTTACCAGGCATTGTGACTAAATTTTGAGTTGTTAGAAAACAAGAGCATCTCATGAACAAGGAATGTATTATGTCAGCATTAAGGCTATCCAATTGAAACTCTGTATCGGTTGATGTATATAAAGATTTGCTCTACACATGCTGTATAAATGTTTCCTTTATTATAATACACATACTGCTTTTTTATAAAAGAAAAGGTATAATATCTTTGTTGTTCTTTTTTATGAAAAAGATGCTGTGTGCAAATGCAAAATGTAATTATCCAAAAAGTAATTTTCTAAGGAACCTTAGAAAAGGTGAAGTTTAAAGATATTAAAACTGCTATCTATTTTGTACATTTTATAGCAGCATTTTGTAGATTTTTTTAATATCAACATGCAGAGATTGTGTTTGTTTTCTGTAATGTGTTTTTGTCTTTTTCTCTTACAGTTGGTACCAAAAGCTCCAAAATACAGCTTTGTGACTTCAAGTCTGGATCTTGTTCTCACATTCTGCAGGGTATTTCTTACTCTGAAACATAAATGTTAGACAATAACTACTTTGAGTATACCACACTGTGTAAAGAACTGCACTGAACAATATTTTCTTTGTAAGTAATAGGACAGATGTGTTTAGTGCCAGTTGTCAAAGAAACACAGTGAGAAGAGCTTTCTTTCTTAACATTTTTCTAATCTTCTTGGCCTGAAGATATATTATTGATAATTATAAAAAATGCTTATGTCTACTTAAGGTGGACTCCTTGAGTTTTATATCATTGAGATGTAGTTTTCTAAACAAGTTGAGAAACTGCCTTGGTAATATTTGTCCAAGTACTTTAGATTACACCTGGTTAATTTAAATTATATTTTTAAATTGTAAACGAATTCAGTTAAGCCATGAAAACATCTACCTTCTGGTATCAGCTCAGAATCTGTGATATGAAAAGTGACAGCTTAATAGTTGGTAAGAATTCAGACTTAATACATTATGAAATAAATTTAGAATCATGAGCTATATAATTTACCTATATTGTTTCAGGATGTAAGTAAAGAATTCCATTTTGGATGTAAATCTTATAACATTGAAAATTGTTGTGTCTTCATCCTGTAATGGCATAGTTCCTTCTAATTTCTTATAACGATACCCTTTAATTCTGCTGTACTTATACGTATTATCACAAATTCTACTTTTCCTCCATTACCAGAATTACATCTGAATTTATGTTGATACATAAAGTAACATGATGTTTCACTCTGCATATTCTGTTGTTCTCAATAGTGCCTTCAGAAAACTAGTTATTCTTATAAACTGAGTGACACTTGATGCTGAATCTCTATAAGAATTAGTGTTTATATAATTCGTTTATACATGTTAATTTAAAATTGAAGTTATTTCTATTATTTGCATGAGCCTTGCAATTTACAAAGTTTTCATTTTGTTACAAAAATGCAAATTTAGGTTATTTTTTTTTTAAATATACAGTAGTATTAAAGTCTGTACAAAAATTTGCAATATAATTAATGTAACAGGAGAATAATAGAAAACAAACCAGTCTTAAACCAAAAATATTATTATGCTTTTGTATTTTTAGGTCACACTCAAGAAATTCTAGCAGTATCTTGGTCACCACGTTATGAATTTATTTTAGCAACTGGAAGGTAAAAAAACCCAATAAAATAAAGCAATGTATATTAAACTCAGTCAGTGTTCTAAAAAACTATTCTAAATTTCTTTTACAATGGCATCCATACAAAGTGCAATGACGTAAAAATTACATCTTGCACAAATTACAAAGTGACATAATTGTGCAACTGCCCTGATTACATACTCCCTTAAATTACCTGAGCCATGGCACTTAGGTAATTATCACTTCATGCCACCATGTCCCCTACCTCTGACCTTAGATGCCCAGGTTGGCAGCATTTCCTTAATTGACTTTTTTTTAAAAAAAATTAAATTTAAAAGCAGAGAAATACTTTTAAACCATGAATATAAGTCTTGGTATTGAAATGTAAAATTAGGGTTAAGTTTTAAGATTTACTATATTATTACTGAATGAATATTTTAATAGTCTCTGTTCTTTTTAAACTTAACTTTTTTGATACCTACATCAGCAATATTCATTAAATAATGACAAATTTATGATCAATGGTATTTTTATTCATTTATTCATTTACTTAATTTGATAATGTCCCATTAGAGTACTTCTAGGAAAAGAAATAAAAGAAATAAGTTGCTGCTTTCCAAAATTCATCACATTTTGTATCCTGTACAGTTCCTGAGCATTTTTAAAAAATTCTTTTTTTTAATCCCTTCAATAAATCTCATTTTCTGTTCATGTTTTTCGAGTCATAGTTCTTTCAAAACTTTTAACACTGTTATTTTGCATAATAAAAAGTTATATAGTTCCTAGTTTAATAGCAGTTAGATTTATATACCGCTTCATAGGGCTTTCAGCCCTCTCTAAGCGGTTTACAGAGTCAGCATATTGCCCCCAACAACAATCCGGGTCCTCATTTTACCCACCTCGGAAGGATGGAAGGCTGAGTCAACCTTGAGCCGGTGAGATTTGAACAGCCGAACTGCAGAACTGCAGTCAGCTGAAGTAGCCTGCAGTGCTGCATTTAACCACTGCGCCACCTCGGCTCTTTTTAATATGTCTGTATCTTTCTTCATATTCTTATTATATCTAAATTCCCTTTCTAGATAATTTCAAAATTATTCATTGTACTTGTTCTACAGCTTCATTACAGCATGCTGCATCCATCTTATCAAGACATTTATCTTATCAAAAGGTTTGGTAGAGAAATATCTGCTCCGTTCTTCTTCTTTTTTACTCTTTAGTTCCCTCTAGTGCCTAATCTTCAAGGTCCCCTTATTATAAAAATTGTAAATAATGACCATTTTTCCATGATAAAATTTATTCTAATGAAATCCGATTCCAAATCTATCTAGACCCTTAATCTGTTAACTATCCAAAATTCATATTCTAAGCACCCTTTTGCTGCATAATCCGAAATGTATATTCAAAGCAGGTTCTGACCATTTCTGGAGAACCAGTAGCGGAAATTTTGAGTAGTTCAGAGAACTGGTAAATACCACTTCTGACTGGCCCCGCCCTCATCTATTCTCTGCCTCCCAAGTCGCAGCTGATCAGGAGGGAATGGGGATTTTGCAGTAATCTTCCCCTGGAGTGGGGAGGGAATGGAGATTTTACTGTATCCTTCCCCTGCCAGGCCCATCAAACCACACCACACCCACCAAGCCACGCCCACAGAACTGGTAGTAACAAAATTTGAATCACACCACTGATTCAAAGGCTTTAAAATCAAATTTACATCATATTTCTCTAAAGAAATGAGGACTCAAGTAATGAATACAAAACTTTGCCAAATAGGTTCTCTCTCCAGTACTCTAAAAAAATATATCCAAAAAATGATTAAGAAATTGATCAAGATTCATATCCATCAAATGTGGTTTTATGAATGTGAGCTTGATGGAATCACAGCTCCTAGCCAATCATCTCATAAGCTGACTGCAAAACAGCAGCTTTTATGATCTACTCATGAAGACTGGCTGTCCAGAGTCAAGTGGATAATCTCAACGATCTCTCCTCCCTCCAGAGTGATTTTAACAGTCTGGCTCCAGCATCTAGCCACAATTCTTGCAAATGTCCTTCAGCTACACATGGCATTCACAGGAAGTCCCCACGTTCTTTTCTAATCACTTTTGGAAATTGCTTGTTAACTGTTTTTCAACTATTAGGAATTTTTGGATCCTCAAGGTTTAGAGCACCAGTGACTTTTCTAGCAAATAAATAGCTACAAACAAAAGAGTTTTAGTATTAATTATGGGAATGCTATGGGAAAATACTTTTATTTTGAGTTCTTTAAAAAATACAGAACAGAGAGGATTTTAAAGGTTGGACACTAGGAGGAATTAAAAGTATCTAATCATAGTTAAAGGCAAATAACACTGAAATTTGACTTAAGGTAGAATGTAGCAAAATATCCTAACATTGGAAATATTGAAGGATATTTTTGAATACCGGTAATGGACCAAGAAGTTAATTTTAAGAGTGTCTGCTTCTATAGATTGACTTTCTTTAAAAGATGTTATGTAAGTGGAACAAGACAAAATTGAGACAGATTTGAAAATGGAATTAATAAAAAGCTCTAAGAATAATATAGAAAAAGATGGTTCATTGAACATAACAAAAGAAACCGACTTATGTCTTAATAATAACTTTAAAATAAATAACAAACTAGATAATCTTATATTGGATTCATAAAAGAGGCTGGTTAAAGCTTTGAAAAATGCTGTAAGGGACAAAAAAACCCAAAGAGAAATGTATTTTAGGACATTATTCGAAGAAACTAAAGTTAAAGATGAAGGAAGGAATGCAAAGTTGATTTATTTGATCAAGCTTAAAGTAGATCTGTTATCTCTGATAAGCCTTAATGGACTTTGCTGCCTAGGACTAAACAACAAGGTTTAAGGATTCATTTGTAGATGAGAGATGAAATATAAGCAAAGATCATTTCTATTTTAAGACATAAGTTTCTGAAATTATCTATTATTTGTGATGAAGGGAAAGTCATTTATTTATATATTTCTTTTATTATTTTTCTTTTCAATAGTTTCTATAGTTTTTTTCTTTATCTTCTACTTTTACTTTTTATACTTTTTATAGTTTATATTCTTTATCATTGTAGTTATAGTTTTTAATAAAATTACTATTTTAAAAAAGCACACTTAGGAATATGTTAAAAATCCTAAAGTAAACCAGAACCTTCCTCATACCTAATTTGATGGTTTTGGTAGGTACTAAGATTTTTGAAAAACCTTTAAGAAGACAAGTCTCATCTTTCACAATAACTAATTTTTGCTAACTTTCCTAAGAGTTTAAAATACACAAAGTCTTTGAACTTTTGCTAACTTTCCTAAGAGTTTAAAGTACACAAAGTTTTTTATGATTGGGATTGGAATTTCAGTTGTATATCATTGTGGTCATAAGCAAAGGCACCCACATAACCAGACACAATTCTTCAACCATTTTATATTGGTTGTTAAGCAAATTGTGGTTGTAAGACTGACTAATTGGTGGTCATTAAGAAAATCTATTTTCCCAACAAAAAGCACTAGAAACTAGCAAACAAAAATCACATTTGCAGTCATGTGACTGGGATTGGTTATAATGGAAGCTGGTTGCCAAATTATTGAAATATGGTCGTGACTGCAGGTGGGAGTTAACTTGTTAAAGATTATCTGAGTCAGCAGTGGTTTTGAGGAGAAAGTTTTCAAGTTTGTTTTCAGAATATTTTGGGGATAATTAGAACGTGGTTCCAAAAGAAACTGTCAGAGGTCATTTTCTGCATTTATAAAAGAACATGTAAATATGTTTAAGTTGAGAGAAAAATAATTAAAAATAAAATAATAATTATGAAACTATTGAAAGTTCATTTGTATTGCTCATACATCACCTCAGAGTTTTGTTTTTCTTTTAGTGCTGACAGTAGAGTGAAATTGTGGGATGTAAGGAGAGCCTCTGCCTGTCTGCTCACTCTTGATCAGCATAATGGGGAGAAGTCAAAAGCAGCTTCTGAAGCAAGTAATATATTTCATACATCAATATTATAGTTTTATTCTGATATAAATTCATATTAAACCATGCTATTATATAGCCCAGGATAGATTACAGTGTCAGTACTAAATGCTATATGAAAGGTTTCATGACCTTTTTTAAAAAAAACATTAGCTTTTGTCTTATCCATGGTTAGCATATGACACCAATATATTATATAGTCCCCCAAGAGACTACAACTCTTGACCAAAAAAAAAAGTTTTCTTCTTAGTTGTTTTAAATCCGTAATTATTATTCCTAGTAATTTAGAATGATTCAGACAATAATTAAATATGATTTCAATGTGTTGAAATGGATGCTCTGTTGAAATCTCCCACACTGAAACTTTAGAATTTTAAAGGGATTAACTAACTGGTTTAAGACCAGGTATCTATTTGTTAACTACAAAAATAATCCAGGATTATAGGAATCCTGATGACCTTCATATCTTTCCTAGGATGCAGGTCGCTTTCCCGACTCTTAACTCATTAATTTTAATTGGGGAGTAGTATGGAAATGTCTTTCTGCTTGACACCCCATCCCCCTTTCTATGGTGTGGCATGCTAGTAAATACGCCAGAAGAATATATAAATGACTCTGTGAAATTAAGGTGGTATAACGTCACCTTACTGCAGAAAAAATATTCAAGCATAATGGTGCTGTTAATGAGCAAAGGAACAATAAGCTGTCATTAAATTTGCTGTACAGAAGCATTGCATTGGGCAGGGAGCTAAACCAAATGATCTCCAAAATGCCTCCCAGCCCCGGCATTCCATGACTCCACACGTTGCAACTACGCAAGTGAGGAGATTGATGGAAATATCAATGACCAATGTCACAAGAGATCTAGAAATGACCCTCCCTTAAGCTCCATAGAACATTATCAGTCTGTTCCCAGGAGAAGGCTGGTAGTCTGAAGAAACTCCTATATAATAGGCAGAATATAATAAAGTAGTTGGCTTGAAGCTTACAACTGTGGATCTGCTTGCTGGCACCTAACACCAGCCATTACTCCATTTTTACTCCAAGTGCACACAAGTTGAACTTCTTTTAGGTACAGATCTGGCTAAAGAATAGCCATTAAAAGTGATATTAGAAGAAGAAAAATAAGATGATATCTTGACAGTAAAAATTTGGACAGCCACATTCCATAATAAAACAAATGAAATGAAATGAATTGCTCCAATCATATATTTCATCTAGTATTACTTTCTTTTTTTTACTTGATCCTTCTCTCTTTTTCTTTCAAAAATAAAAATAAAATGACATTGGTATCTTGATGTAGATATTATTCTAATAATGCTACCAGTACATCCTTAAATACAGTACTTACCGTTTCCATAATAAATGCAACAGAATATTTTTATATATTTTTTAAAATTTCAAAGCACAATATTTTTATGAGATAATAATTTTTGCAATACCAAGCTATATATATTGTGGTAGAGAATTTTAAATTGTGCATCTTTTCCTTATAGTAAATACTGCCCATAATGGAAGAGTCAATGGCTTATGTTTTACCAGCGATGGGCTTTACCTTTTAACAATTGGTACAGATGATCGTATGAGACTCTGGAATAGTTCAACTGGAGAGAACACACTGGTAAGACATATGTGGTTAGAAATGTGGAATTGTTTATATCTCCTGTCTTTTAAAACAATCTGGGTGATTTGTCTCCAACAAGACAGGAGGATAAACAGGAAAATTAAGATGTGTTGGTTATGTTCATTGCCTTGAATTATTTGTAAAAATTATAAAGATGAGATATAAATAAATAAGAACTTGGAAAAATAAGAATTAGAACTATTGATTGATTATGACTACAGAAAAGGCAGCTCAGGTTTTGGATTAAAATTATATGCCACTGACATCTAATGTGTGCACAGTTTGTTTAGAAATCCTGTTTATGGAAGTTCTATTATCAAAGTAATATTTTTGCTGCTTTCTTCCTTTCTTTCAGAATATCTCAGTTCATAAATTGTGAGAGTGTGTGAGAAGATGGATATTTCTTACATAATGGATATAAATGTATCTTTTAATGCTAGAGAATTGGAAGTTTACACTGAGAATAGAAAAAGTGTAATTACGTGAATTTGAGGAAGAGAACACTAGGGAAATAATGGAACGGAAACATAATGAGATTTTAAAAAGTACCCAGCATAATTAGACCTCTTTCTTGTAATTAATGGGCTTCATCTTATTGAATGTTGGCCATAAAATTTTAATTAAAAAACTATTACCTTACTAGCCTGCACTTAAGTCTTATAGACTCTGCCTTTCCAGCCTCTTTGATAGTTATAAGAGAGCTTGCTCTACAGTAGGAATCTGTAATTTGAATGGCCTATGGTCGTAGCGTTTATTTAGAAAAAAAGAAATAAACATATAATATGCATTAGTTAACACAACCAGTTTATGGTTTGCAAAAGTATATTAAGTAATGTCTGAACAGGTTTTGGGGTGGAATATGGACACTCGGGGATATATCCTGACTATACTCTCTATCTTGAATCTTATTTGGAGGATTGGTGTTCAGCCAATATGTATGAGGCAAATACTATAGAGTATTACATATAGGAGAAGAGGAAAAGGCTATAATAGAAAATGTATCAACTGTTGGATACACCATAGTCAAACCATTCTTAAGGCTATTTCTTAGTATGTTGTTTCTTAATAATACAAAGTATGGTAGGGACGCGGTGGCTCAGTGTCTTAAGATGCTGAGCTTGTCAATCAGGTGGTCAGCAATTTGGTGGTTCGAATCCCTAGCACCACCTAACGGGGTGAGCTCCTATTACTTGTCCCAGCTTCTGCCAACCTAGCAGTTCGAAAGCAAGTAAAAATGCAAGTAGAAAAAATAGGAACCACCTTTGGTGGGAAGGTAAGTGTTCCGTGTGCCTTCGACATTGAGTCATAACCATGGAGACATCTTTGGACAGTGCTGGCTCTTCAGCTTTGAAACGGAGATGAGCACCGCTCCCTAGAGCCAGAAAATGACTAGCACGCATGTAGACATCTTCCTTTAAACAGAGTATTTCTAATCCAGAAGCATATATGCCTTGAAAGCTAAATATATAAATTCATAGACTATGAGGGCTGGAAAGTAAGTTGGAGTTCTTATAGCGCAATCCCGTCCATATTGTAGTTGGACATTCACCATCCGTTTAAACAGTTTCCACAATGAAGAGACTCACCTTTTCATATAATCTATTGAGTAACATTATTAGAACTATTTTCCTTAATTCAAATAAACGTCTTGATTTCATTGCACAGTTTCTTTTCCTATCTTCTGGAAGAACTCTGAACAATTCTGCCCCATCTTCTACATGACAGTCCTTCAGCTGGAAAACAGCTATCATGTCTCCCACAGACTTTTTATCTCCATGCTAAGCATTTTATCCTCCAATCGTTTGTAACTATATCTCTTCATGTTCCTCATCTTAGTTGTTTTCCTCCAATTTCTCAATGTCTTTCCTTAAATATGATGAGAACTGGATATAGTATTTTAGGTACAGTTGGCTAATATAGAATAGAAAGGAACTGTTTGCTTTTGATCTTGATACTACTCTTGATACGATACAGCCTAGAAACCATCATTTGCTTTTTTTTGCAGCTACCTTACACCATGAATTCATTTTCATCTTGTGAAGCACCAAAAAGCTCAAATCTCTTTTTCATGTGTTGTTATCCAGTACATCCCCTCTTATATTTTATTCTTTTCCTACCCAAACATAAAACTTGAGTTACACAGTGTTTGCCACATTTAGTCAGCTACACTAGTCACTTTATTGAAAAAGGATATTGTGATGATTTGATATGGTTTACTTTCGATAAACCCATGTTGGCTTCTGCCAGGTTTCACCCATTTCTTTGAAATCCAGCTGGTAGGATAGTAGCTTTCCAGTTCTTTTTCTTTCTCCTTTTTGAGAGCAGGAACAACATTTGACCCTCCTGAAATACTATACTGATTTCTGAAATAGGACAGAAAATAACTTCAAGATGACATCAACAAGCTCTAAGAAATAATAGATCTGATCCTTGAGATTTAAACTTGTTCATGGTAGTTGGTCTTTACTTGCATTAGGTTATCACACACTCCTCTTGCCCATTGTTCTGCTTCAGTGCACTTAATTATGTTTCCCCTCAGGGTAGAAGGATATGAGAAGTTCTGCCTTACCTTACTTGTTCTGCCTAACAAGTTATCATCCTGAATCATTCCTAAGCAGCAAGTGCACCTATTGTCTTTTCCTTTTCTTATTAGTAAAAAGCCATGCATAAGAACATTCAAACTTGTTCCTTCTAAATTTCTGCAGATATTATCAACTTCCAAATATACCTACTTGATGATCTTATTTATCTTACATTTCTTATATACTGTGTGTCCCTTTTAGCAGTTAGTTCAATCAAGGGCTACTATAATTCCACAGTGATTCCCCATATTGTAGTTGTATGTAGCTAACTTCCAGCATTCTTTTTTGAGAAACTCTCCTGTATTTCTTTCTATAAGATCCTACATAGTATATGTATAAAGTTTTTGACTTGTTTGTTTAATTGGGTTCTCTTTATGGTACAGTGTCTAATTTTAAGACATTTGGAGAATATATCATATTTTAGGTATTTGTGCAGAAATATTGAAAATCCAAAAGATTTCACCAACTTTTAAGCACCACTACAGATTTACATTTGTATTAATCCAATCTTAAAATCATAAGGCACCAGTCCGATATTCTTTAGAACATGTGATGATGGATTTTGTAAAATAAGATATTCAAAATTTGTTTTAAACTTTGATATGATCTTTCAAAATTTGTTTCAAAGTGGGTGTAAATTCTCAGTGTTAATTTTAGTAACACTCTTTAATTGTTTGTACTCAATGAGTTGTAAGCTTAAGTTCCACCAAAATATTTTCTAATATAAGCCAGGGATTTTAGTTTTGACTAAGTTGTTTTTTTAGGGTACACAGTTTTGGGGAGGAGGGCTAAGGGCTGAATTTGATTTTCCAATAAACGTTTGCTGGCCACACTTCATGAAATGAACAGGTCCTGGATATGGACTAACTTTACATTTTAACTTTGAATTAGTTAAATACAGTAAGGTTTCATCATATATTTCATTCAGTAACATTCAATCTAATTAATTTTGGAAAAGCTTATGGATCACTGTCCAAGGCTACATGGGCTGCCCTTGAAGAGCATTCGGCGACTTCAGCTGGTCCAGAATGCAGCCGCGCGAGCGATTGTGGGTGCTCCTCGTTTCACCCACGTAACTCCTATCCACCGCGAGCTGCACTGGCTGCCT